ACGTGTAGGATTGTGCCCAAAAAGCAAGTTTTTACTAACAATTCAACATTTTCACGATTACTATGTTATAAACTATAACATACAGACTGATGTGGTAACAACGCGAAACCACTCGTAGGTACTCTATAAATTAATTTGAATATAATTAAGTATAATTTCAATTTTAAAGTATTTTGTTTTAATTTTCTTTAAAAGTGCGCTCGAATTACCCATTTAAATAGCCTCTTAAATGTGCCACGATACAAAAAAGTTTATTAAATAACTTTCACATTTTTTATTGTCACGCTTGATAACGTTTTTTTCGCTAAATGTATTTTCTTTTCGTTTATCATAATATCGACTGATATATTTATTGGACGAGATTTCTGTAAGAAAATTACAAATCCGCATTAATTGTACTTTAGAACGATATTGAAATATATCACAAAATACAGAATCAACATTTTTTTATAAGCGTTTGAAGCTTAATATTGGATAAAATTCATGAAATTCATGAAAATATGAAAATAATTTAATAATTTGTAGTTTAAAATTCTTACAGATTTTAATTTAAATTCCTAATGCTAGCAACTAAAATACGATAAGTCGATTTTGACTTGCCTATAATAATTATTATATTATAAATTATAATTGATGCAAGATATTTGAAAAAGTTGGTTCGGCCTATAATATACCGTATAATTAGGTACTAATAGAAAAATAAATTACTCAAAGCAATATAATGATTAAATTATAGAATATCTTTATAAATAAAAACTAAAAGTATAATAGGATTTTACTTACCCTTAACGTTAAAAGTTATCAGAATCATGAAAAACCTTGTGCAATATGCAGTTGATAGTGTAGTAAGTTGTAACTCCGATGAATGATCACTTACCTAACCTTTTCTAACAGTTGCAAAGTAAATATTTAAATTTCCTTTTAATATATTGTTATGCATAAAAAAATTAACTTATTTTGAAAAAAACAATTTATATTTATAATTTTGTTATAGAACTATTATTTTTGTATAAAATATATAAAAAAAGACCGTTGTTTGTATTTAAAGTATATAAAAAAATGCCAACGGCACGTAGTGTTCCCAAGCGGTCACCCATCCAAGTACTAACTACGCCCGACGTTGCTTAACTTCAGTGATCGGACGAGAACTGGTGTATTCAACGTGGTATGGTCGTTGGCGAGAGTTACTAGGCTTTTAATTATTATTAAATAAAGGCATACATTACTTATACTTTGTTGTAATTAATGATAACTTGTTAAACTAATAATGTATCGATTAAATAATATTTTTTTTCATTTTTTATCAAAATAATATTATTTTAATTATTATAAAAAAAATAAGTACCTACCTAAAAGGTGGGCTATAGAATTCATATAATTAGTATTATTAATAATATTTTTTTTTCAGTGAATCGGCAATAATTATAATGCACGTACTACGTTTAATACATTGTTTTTGTTTATTTATTAAAGGAATATTAACAACAATTATTTAGGTACCAATACTCACTAAAGATCACCAGAAAGAAAGTTCCCATCTTTAAATATTCCCACTATTGTGATTTAGATAACAAAATTAAAATTAAATGAATATATGTAAGGTACCTAATACAAAAAATAAAAATTCTAAGGCTGATTAAGGTTTCAGTAACAAAAGTCCTACATTTTTTCTTGCCTCAAATGTAAAAAAACTAAAAAGTATAGGTACCTAATATTTTTTGACATAGATATCGAGTGTTAACTGTTTAAAAAAACACTGTACACCATTAAATTATCAAAAAAGTGTAAGTAATAATAATATTATTATATCATTATTATATTCAGTTTGATAGCATATTATAATATACAAATTATAAATACATAAAATATGTTTTTAAATTTTTAAGACTTTGAGATCTTTTAATTTAATTTAGTGGCAGATGAAATATGATAAAAATTATAAGTAGAGTTAATTTAAAAGTTTGATCGGCTTGATAGGGATAAAAAAAATGAGTATATTTTGGTACAAAATACAGATTGCAAAATAATGTCAATATTAGTTTGTATAGTTAATATATCGTATTTCGGGTAAATAATGTAGTATAGGCTATTGTAATTGCGAATGGGTACAGTATGACTAACGTCTGGTTTAAACATTTATTATAAGTACCAATTGCCACAAAGATGTTGTTTTTTTTCGATTTTTGTAAAAAAAAATTGCATTTTTTGTTTGTACCTTAAAGTTTATCTAACCGCTCGCGATGCTATGAAAAGGATTTTCGGGGTGACACGAATACTCTCATATTAGGTACAACTCTGTATTTAATAAAAAACACATGTAGTATATTAAACATATTCAAGACTTGAAAACAATAAGTATGTCGAGATCTGAAACGCAAAACAAAAACCGACATCATGACAATCACAAAAATATTTAAATGAAAACTACGTTTGTAAAAATAGTGCCTTACAGTCATACAATACTATGTGCATGACTGTAACCAAGTGGTATTCCGACACGTTAAGGGAAATATTTGTATATACATAAAATCTATTTTTCATTAATTATAATTAATCACATTGCATTAGCTTTACTTAATTTGTAAACATTAGATTTATGTCAATTCGATAACTCAACAGTGTACAAATCATATGGAGAACTCTCACCTCCACACATCCGCGATGGCTCGGAGGTGACCACTGACCAGCACTATTTTAATTTACAATGTTATCCTCTCAATACAGTATCGCCGTTGGAAGTCAATACATAATATTATTATATTTTAAAAACAACAAAATATTATTAACCGCGCAGGTTCAATAAATCATCAAGTAAACAGACATTCGAGTTTAAGCCGAAATCTCTTTTGTAGCTTTCAGATCACGTATGTAAACATCACCATTGTTCACTAATCTGTTAGGTATAGTCCCTTTCCCTATCTAACCCAACAATTATTATTTTTTGTTTATAAATATTTTGTTTGTTCAAATTAAATTATTTTTTCATCTTTAAATTATAATTTAAATATCGCAAATCATTAATTTATTATATAATTTATACATACATTAAATTCTATTCGTATTGACCTTTATATTCCTTAAAAATGGAATAACAATCATAAATAAAATAACAAGATTTTGAAATATTATGTCTTTGTATTGTAAGTTGTAACACATGTTTTTATCTTATCCTGATATTTATCTCTTTTTACTTTTCCATTTTATAAACATTTGCGATTACTATTAAACCTGCTTTTTCTATTAGATCCTATCCGATCCTATAAACATTCTATCGCGATATCGGATGACAATAAAATAAGTTATTTTTATAATTGCGGGCTAACAATAATGACATTTTGAAACAAACTATTGAATACTTATTAATTTAGAACATAATATACACTTTCTTCTGGAATTTTCCAACTGATTTTTAAGGAAACACTTCAAGACTTTAAGTAGTGCCACTTTTTAAATAGAGTGAAAAAAATGTCTGCTCAAGTTATCATCGCACATCTCTTTTATCAAGCTTATGAAGTAATATATATTCATGTATTACACATGTCTTGGTGATTTTTCTCTTCAATAATATTGTTTCTATACACACGCTTCTTATAAATATTGGAAGTAGGTGCACCTAAAACAATTGAAATATTAAACAATATCGTACCTACATTAAACACTAAGTTTAATATTATTTTAGTATTAACTATCTATCCATAATATATTAAATAGAACACTATAAAAAAGATCTACGTTTTAATAAATTATCACCATATTATTTCTTAGTCTGAATTAGCCACCATCCTATTATTTGTTAACGTATTCTATAAGTATAAAATGCCTATATTCTATACATTAATAGTTGGTTATTGATTCTCAATAAATATATAGGTCCTTACAATGTAATATACTTACTAAGACCTTTAGATAACTAGGTACAAACATACTGTACTTGTAATATACTCATATGCATAATACACAATTTGCAATGGTTTATTTAGTTAGGTATTTAGTGAATTGAACATCGATTTGCATAATTATTGATATTTTTCTCCGTTTTTTTCACCATTTCTTCAACTACTATTGATTGTTGCAGAAAAAATAAAGCATATACCTACATTTTACCTAGATTCTGAGTGGACCTGTCGGATGAATGTTACTTATACGCACCGTGAAAGTGCAGGGGTTCCCAGCAGAGTGCCTCAAATCAGGGGTTCCGTGATATTATTTCTAATATAAAGTAATAATTGTAATGACTTTTCACAGTTTAAAAAAATATATATTTTATGAAAGACGTGTGGGCTTAATGCAATAAGTGTTACACTATATGCATCAAAGTTTTTAAATATAAACATAAACACACGAAATACTCCTATAGAGTGTCGTAAAAAAAAGTTGGGAACCTCTGAGTTAAGTAATGCCTTTAGCCACTAGTTTAAATACCTAGCTATCGTATTCGACTATATAACTAAGGCTATAAATAAAATAGGGACCATTACTATTGGTATTGGAATAGTGGACAGAAAATCAAAAAATTAAGTGGAAAATTTGCCGTCAAAGGACCGTCATCTTATCTATAATCAGAGTGTTCTATGTTTAAAAATTGTTTATTACTTTATTTCGTTATTACTACTAATTTTTTATACAGTAAATTTGAGAATCTAGTTGACCATTAAAATTTTAGTGCCAACTCTGCATACTCTCGTTAGTCCTTACCATATTTGTGAAGATTATATTCAGGAAATTATGTATTTTCTTTTTAATTTCCTCAATAATAAGTTGGTTTATCTTATCAAGGTGACTAAATAAAAATATTGATTAATGTTATTATCAATAGTTGTAAAATATCGTAGTATATTATAGGCAACTTTTTATCATTAGATCAGTCTTTCGACGTTTTCATGAGTAAATATCTCATTGCGAAGACGTTTACCAAGGTTTTCTATAGTGAATGCCTACACACAAAATAGAAAAAAACAGGTTTATTTAACAATCGTTTGCGATAAAAAAAAAATCACAAGTCTTCTAAACAAAATAACTTTATTTGACATGTTGCAGCATTATATTCTGCATTCGCCTAAGGATACTTTTTAAGTACATAAATGATTTTATTTTTTTTTTTGCTAAACAAAAATGTTTTAATTTACATAATATTCAAAATGTACTTAGATTTCCATACATTTAGGATGGCCATTGTTTGAAATCACGCTGGAGATAAAATGCATGGTTCATTTACTTCTCCGTTATTTAGGTTTTTCCCATGTACCATCCAATGGTAAAGGTCCACTAATTGGTACTTTTTTAAGATATTTCTAAAAGTGAAGTACCAAATGAATCCAATAGCCGTACATATGGCCATTGATACATAGTATCCGTCCACATAAATTTCACAAGTTCCTCCATCCTCAAAGCATAGCTAAAACAAAATATAAACAATTAAGATAACCCAACATTTTATGTTCAAAAATTGTATTCAAAGATAAACAATTTATAGCATTAATAATATTCAAGAATGTCTTACATCTCTAAAATTTTTCGTGTTACAAGTATTTTCAACATTATTTGTACACTTGCTGAAAGTTAAAATGTCAATCAGTTTCAAAACAAAAGTATTCGGTAATAACCATCCCAAAAAGTAAAATGTATTATATAGTGTCATGTACGTTCCACCGAAACGGGGGTCGCTTATTTTACAAAAGAATGCAATTAGCGTCAGCATCAAAAATAAACTCAACATCTAGAACAAAATTTAAAATATTATATTATTATTTGTTTTTCATAACTCATAATTTTAAAAAAATACTGTTTAACGTCAAAAACCAAATTATTACAAACATATGTTATACTTTTTGTTAACATTAATAATATCTTAAAATATGTTATTCACTTAAAAGTTATAAGTTATAACATTCGTTATTTTTACTTGTACTGCAGTTTCTTTTTAGAAACTGTATACAATTCAAAAGTTGGAGTAATGTTATGATTGATTTGAACGTATTATTCAAATTCATATTTGTATATACCTTCTTATATAATATAGCTAAAAGTATCACTCAAGTTAAAATCAATTTAAAAAAAATAATAATAATTAAAATAATAGTACAGGTACAATGTAGAAATAGCTTTAAACATTAATATATTACTCAATTGAAAGAGTTAAAGTAATATTATGTAACTAATAAAAATTTAATAACTCACCTCGTTTACAAGAGATATCAATCCTAATATAAAATAATAATACAACGGTATAGTAATAGTAGGTCCATCTTCGTATATTAAACTTGGTGTATAATAAACCAACACGGAAAACACTACACCACAAATTAATCTGAAAAATATTTTGTTAAAATAATATGTTATACCGTTATCTCATTAGAAACATAAAATACAATAATATCATACATAGTGATAGTGATGTGTAAGTAAATACATTTAAGACAATGGTTATTTCACAATTGTATTCTAAAAAAAAAAATGTTTCCTCAAACTTCATTCTTAAAACTATTTGTTCTCTTTGCACTCTGGTCATGATTGCTTTACCCGTTCACAGGTTAAACTCCAAAATTACAAATCGTAAATACCTACGTCAATAACATACAAATTCAAATTTCTTTCAGTGAACTAAAATAACTGCCTACACAAAGGTGAAAGGTGCACTTTTCGTAAAGCAGCATTCACTCCTTAGTCCTTATACTATTTCATCATTTTTATCGACTTAGCCACCAAACATGTTATGTATATTGATTATTAAACAGGAACATGTTATTATTAGTTTGAACTTAAAAAACAATTCAATAAAAAAACACATTTTGACATTTTCTGTTCATTTAATTACCCACTAATTTTAAAATTTGTATTTATTAAATTTTTTTTGTAATAATCATGATATCAAGGTAATGCATCATTTCTCAAAGTTAGAAACTAAAAATGATTTTTTATTACACAAAAATTATTAATGGTCTATTTTATAATTCTATATAAAAAAAATAAAAACAAGGAAAAATTCATCATTATCATATTATGATTATTCCCTAAATATTTCATGTTTTAATGTATTTTAATTTTTAATGTTTCGGTAATAAAGAAAAAAAATATTTGTTTAAATTGAATTATTTAAAAAAAAATTTTAGATAGTTATTTTGTAGAGTTCATTTTTCTGAAGATATTGAAGTTTCAACATTTTATTTTCATTAATCTCTTGATTTTTAATATTATTTCTAGTTTTGAGAAAAATTGAAGGCATCACTGAAAGTGTTTGCCGGCAGTACGAGCACGAGTCACATGTTTAATACCACTTTGGTATTAAATAATTCGTAAACTTTCTCGAAACTAAAAAAAATATTAAAAACTAGAAGAATAGTAAAATGTTGAACGTCAATATTTTCAGAAAAATGAACTATACATAATGGTTGTCTTCAATTCACCAGAACTATGATATCTTCATTATTTCAGGAGATATTGCAATGGGTAAATCCTCAAGGGACACCCTGTATAAAATAATTAAAATTATTAATCAAAACCCGATATCATCTTAATAGTTTATGGTCGAGCTGTTTAATTATCCAAATAAAATTCAAGTTTCATAAATTATTACGTACATTTCCGAAATTGGTATTCAGCTAGGCACACTCACACAGTGAGAACACACGCGTTTGGGAACAGTAAGAAGATTTAAAAATCAGACATGTACATAAAAGTTTAAAACCTTTGGTTGGTAATAAATACCTACGAAATTATTATAGTTTTATCTTTACAAGATCAAAATCAAGCTGTAATAAAAAATTTTTTTATGTTGCACAATATGTGTAAGTGAATGGTTAAATGAAGATTTTGGACTAGTACATTTTTAGCACCAATTCTAATTTGAATATTTATTACATCAACTGTAGTAAGAAGTTTCATATTAATATGTTTCTGTACAGGTTATCTGGATAAAATAATAAAATCGATACTTTTTAATTATGTACCATAGTTACGTATAAAGTATAATAGATTTCATACTTTAATAATTGCCTGTAGGAAATATTAATCTACCCGTGTATCTACATAAATAGTAGAATGACTTTAAAGTCTTAAGGAAAATCAATTATATGCTATTTTTGACAGTAATATGACGCGATGATTGTTTGTTTTTTATATTTAATTATCTATTTTTATTAAAATTGCATGTCTTAATAATTAATTGTGTCCTTGCATTAAAATGTGTTAAAAATTTGTAATTTTTTATGAACCCTGCGGGTTTTGACTAATAATATTTTATCTAACATATGTTTTAAATTACAATATTTATTAAATACTATATATAATATATATAGGTACTACCTATGCTATATATTGTGCAATTTACTTTCTGACATCATTTATTATAATTTATAATCTATAATTATAGTTAAAATAATTAAATATGTATAATTTATTGAGCGTTTCATTATGTTAAAATTAATTAGGTCATTCGGTATTTTTTGTCTTTAATAAGATTTTAAATAATATTCATACAGGAAGATTTTATGATTTTCAGTGGGCAAACGGTTCAACTCGTGTGTGAATGAGAATAGCGCTTGGCAATAGTAACCTTGTGTAATTATTGTAACGAATATTGCAAATCATGTTCAAAATATTTCAGAGGCCTTCAAGACACGGATAAGCACCTTAGTATTTCTCTCGTAGCATTTCCATCTATTCAAATTATTGTATTATGCCACTACACGTCGTTTAACATAAAACTTAGGTTTAGCTTTCATCCATGATAATGCGATGATAGATAGTGTTAGTTTATTTCCGTAATTATTGCAAGAGACAAGGGTACACGATTTGTAACGTTTTAATATGACTGACTACAACTTTTAAATAATACAATTGTGCCTTACTCATATAAAATAAAATAAAAATCATACTTGGCTTTAATGTTCAACAATAATAATACAATATTGAAATGTACCTAATATGTTTGATTATACTTATAATATAATTAAGTACAGTTATTTACCTTATGGGCGTCATTTGCAGATGGTAACTCATTGGTGTCGAACTCGTAACATATTTGCATACAAATAATGGAAAAATGAATTTCATGACATACATTACTGAAGTAATCATCATAATGTCATCCTTGGGTATACCAGAGTCAATTAATTTCAGGGGTGTTACAGATTCCGTAGCAGTGAATCCTATCTATAATACAAAGACAAAGTGTTTTAAATAATTAGGCCTACAATGAAGCTATTTTTTACTGATACGCTCCTGCAATAGGGAAATTTATTTTAAGTGAAACTAAACTTCAACTCTACAGTTGAACTTCACACTCCCGATAAAGACACATGCATTTTTAAATGCCAATACTATAATACAATAATGTGCACCTATAATTGTACCTATTACATTTATTAATGTGGTTAATTTGGGATAGCCAATAAACTATTTTAATATTATATGGCCAAAAAAAAAAAAATGCTGACATTTTTTAGTTGAATCAACAGGTGTCATGGCGTCTACCTATATTAGTACCGTAATGTTTTTAAATTTTAAGTGCTCACATTTCGAAACTGTTTCTTCAACTGTATTTATTATCAAGGCTGTGAATTCCATGGACTTATGAACATTAAATATGCATGCACTTATACACTCAAAGAACGAGAATATTTTAATCATTTCAAAAATATGCAAATTTATACATAATCTATTTGATAAAATGAATTCACGTTTACATGTATAAAATAGCTTTCAATTTAATAATAAATAGTATGCATAGAATATTACAATTGAATATTTAGATAATACTTATGAACTCAAACACATATGAACGATTTAGCTTTAAAAAAATATGTATATACAATTTTGAAAAATGAAAATATACATAATAAATATTTTAAAAAGTGTGTGCCTCACTTATTTTGGATTAAAAATTAAGTGTAAAAAATCATTATATTCACAGCCCTGCCACCCTGGTGATAAATTTAATAATTATCATACATATATAGTATTAATAAACTTGTAAGATTAATTCTCAGGTATTCCAAATTTCTATTAGGAATATATTTATATTTTATAAATTAATAAAATGAAATCTGGAAAACAATTTTGAAACCATAGTATGGAATCGATATGCATTTTTAAGTAATTTTGAATGTCTATGTGAAATACAAAAATAAATATTTTGTAAACATTTGAGGTCTCCAGGATTGTAAAAAAAAATTGTAAATTAATGTGAACAATTGTGGTTGATTCAGTTGTCCTTTCCCAAAAGGCCATGGTATTTTGACAGGTTTTTGTATACAAAAGAGATAACCTCGTCTCTTCACTCAGGTATACATATTTTATTTGGATCATAAAAATATAAAAAAACGTTAGAGGTTATGTATATAAGGTGAATAGTAAAAAAACAAATTTCATGTTCAAAATAAAAGTTGATACATACTTAGCCACTTCAGTATAGGTACATTTATTGTTATAATACCACAGTGACTAAGTTTAAGTTAAATAAATAATTGTCAGTATATTCTGTTATTATCATTCACCTTTATTGTCAGCAATGCTACTGCCAATATTCTAACACGAGGTAGCTTAAAAATGTCCCACAATAGTTTATAATTCTGAAATACGCTGATTTTTTTGTGGCCATCTTCCAATATATGCTTTTCATTTTTAAACAATCCAATGAATACTGTCACTATCAAAATTACGATAGCCCAAATACTAAAAAAACCTAAGCAAATAAAATATAAGAAAAAAAAAATTGTAATTATTATGATGATAAACTAATAAAAATATTTGATAGTCCATAGTCAGTTTCAAAATATCCATAAAATAAACTTGCCTGCATAATACCTGTTTAGCAAGAAATTTTTCAGATTAAATCAAAAAAAAAATAATGTACTATTAAAAAAAAAAAAAACACTAGTTAAAAAAGAAAAACCGGAAAAAATGGTTGCCCATCCTGCATAGGCGCAATTTTAATTTTCCTTGGTGGGCTGAACAATTGTATGCCAAACAGATCAGTGGGTGAAAAAACGTGGTTGTAGATAATTATACCTACACTTTGTAATGTACCTACTTATACTGTAATAATTAGTACACTTGCTGTTGAGCGAATTTCAATACAATCAAAGATTAAAAATAACTAATAGTTTTTAAACACTGTTACAAAATGTCCAAAATATAAAAGTATGTTACTGATATATTAACGACAAATGTATATAAATGTATATACTTTGTTAATCATATCTACATAAAAATTATAAAAATTAAAACCTTAATAGTTGTGTACGCGCGAAGAAATTGATAAACGTATACTGTATTGTTGCTCAAAATATTGAGTAAGTGCTTTAATGACAAATTACTCGAAACGAAAATAAGTCAAATATCGTGTAGAACAATGTGTGTGTGTAAAATTTGATTTTATGTCCGTACTTTTCATAGTCATAATTCCTCCTGCGCCGGGAGTAGTTCCAAAATGTTTGACACAGAAATCCTCAGATACCAGCAAAGTAAAACAAACAGAACCCGAGAACATGCCAATAGGCACTCCCACAGAAGGACACACTGAAGCATAACTCACGTTTTTCCTGGAAAAAGAAATTAACAAAAATGTAGCACACTTTCTAATTATTAATTATACAGGTACTCATTGCGGTAGGTACTCACTTTTTTAACACTGTCAACGACCAACCATCGACGGCGATGTCTTGTGTGGCGGACAAAAAGTTAACGACGAAGATCATTCGCACTATCATTGTAAGATTTGGTCGTCCTGTCTCGGGCAACCAATCATCCATATTGATGGCCATGTAAAAAAATGCGATCCCTGTTCGATGTCAAAAATAATTGATAAGTTTTGGGTTTACGAGAACTACAGAGTGAAGAATCCGTAAACCGACATAATTAAAGTACTGTATTGATGTCTTGTGTTCATACATTGAAGAACATAATAGGTACTATTGTTTTAATTTATCGTAGGCACTCTGTTATTCTATAATATAGTGCCTATTATTCTAATACCTTATATAGGTATGTGCTGAAAAAAAATTAATTTACATACCCAATAATAGTTGTAGAGGTAATAGCCAGGATTTTCGTCTACCAATCGAGTTTATATAGAGTGCGTCTATAATTGGAGCCCATAGGAGCTTAATGCTATAAGGCCATAATGCCATACTAAATGATGCCTAAAATAAAACAAACAGTAATAATTTACAATTAATTGACTAATATAAATTTCCTTCGTATTTTATAATTTTACGGGTAGTATTAAAAATTAAATAATTTGTCCAAAGTTATTATTTTATTTGTTTTATATTTTCAAAAAAAATAGTGCCTAATTCAAGATGTTAGGTGTAGATAAAATGAAAATTCTCATCACACACGGACAATTTTCTCCTTTCTTCATTACAGATGTTAATGATAGTAAGTAAAGTTAGTAAATTTTTTTGAGGTTTTTAATTTTAAAAATAAATTCACTTTATCTAATTTTAAAAATACCTAATTTTGTCTTTTTTACAATACATATAATGTTACTTAAGGTGAACATAGTGTATATAAATCGTTTTTCTAAATAATGAAGTTTTATATAAAATAAAAATAAAAGTAATATCCACTTACTTGATCTTCATAGGTTACCATTTTTTTACTCTGTAAAATCAATGGAAGAGCCGTCGATACACCTATAGGAAATCCTTGTATTGTGTATAGTATTATTAATAGGAATAAATTCAACCGATCTCCGTCCAAATTTGGTTTTTCTGACTTAGATTTGAGTGGTACTTCATATACCTCAGCTGGTTCATCTTTGTGTTTGATCTTGGTTGATTTTAACATAATTTTTAATTATATTATTGAACTTGGTCTTAAACAAACGATTTGATTTGTAAATTTGACTAGTGAACACGGATTGGTGGTACTAAACAAAAAAGTGCAATTTTATTTGAATTTGTCCATATCATAATTATTTTCTATTAAATGTTATATAATTGTAAAGAAAATACAAAATGGTAATACATTTGTTTTAATAATCACTACTAAATATAGGTAAATATAATAATAATATCCTTATAATTTAGTAATCAACGGAAATATAGTGTTATATTAATTTTTCATTGTTGGTTTAACATTTAAAATTTAATATAATTTTCTTGAACGTATTAAATATTATAATTATTATGAATTTTTTTTTTTAATTATTATCTTCTAAAATACTGAGTTATTCATAAAGTAAGAATTTTATTAACGACTATTATGAACGTGTTTACCTACATTCAATAGGGATCAAGATAAATATTTAAAAAAAAATTTTAGTATTTTAATAATGACATCGTCTTACGTGTAAATTAATAACAAAAAATATTTAAGACATTATAATATCATCCATCGCTTGATTTATTCAACATCTTGGCAATTATGCAATTGATGTAAATATTTCCCGCGATCTTTAGATGGGATGAGAAAAGTGTAATAGTATGTACGACGATGAACGGTCAAAGTCCTACGTTAGACTGAAAGGTTTATAACCAGTACCTATTTGATGTAGGAACGATACTAAATTGGTAAAACCAGTTATCCACAGCGTCTGGCTACACGGAATGTTATCGGTTAACGGTTGCGACCTTCGCCCTAAGATGATGTCCAGTTTCATTTTCACTGGTTTTATGGTTATTATATTATATAATATGTACATCTAGTCAACCGGAACCACGAGGTTGAGGTAAGTTTGCGAGGAATGTGCAAAATACATCAGCCAATTATTGGATATGTTCAAGCCTTTGAGGTGAGTTATGAGCAACATACTAAGCGCACGTCCAAAGGAATTTTACAAGTGTAATAGTAAATAATAATAATATATTATGGGTAGATACTTGTTAGTCGAACTTATGTAAAAAAAAAAAAAAACATTACATATTATACAAACATAAAATACGAGAATGTGCTATAAAATAAGTGTTCCACCGGTCGTCCGTAATTTATTTATTTCAATATTATTTAACGCCCGAAGACAACAATTCTAATTATAGTTATTAACAGCATATTAGTTAGTTAGGACACGATATAATATTTATACGCAATATTACGTACGTCATGAAGATATGCGTTCAAAAAAAAAAAATATTTAACATATTGATTGGGAGTGCATTTAACTTACTGATTACCTGTTATAAAATGAACATGAAAACAAAAAAATCATTACTCACATAACCATCATAAATCAAGTCATAGTTAAAGTCGCATAATATTATATTATTATTGTATGAGTTGTAGACGTATTCGCACTAACTCGTGGATCCAGGGTGCTGAATCGCCATTCACCGCGCGAATGAGCGATATAGTCCGAAACACAGAGATCGAGTTGGTTAGGTTACCGGTGTCGAATAACGTAAATATTATACTTCTGATAAACTATAGTTACAGAACTATACCTAGACATTCAGCTGCTTTGAGCAAACCGTCGTAATGTAACTCATAAGTGTGTTAACCGTGTGATAAGCCGCGATCGAATGAAATTCTGGTACTGGTAAGAGTAATTAGTCGATGGGACAGTTATGCCATTAATATTGTCGTTGTCTATCATATTTACCTACACTCGAAAGCATAACGATTTAAAAATACAAATCTAGGTGTACTCATTTTGTCTCAGACGAGCTCCTCCCGGGTTTTCGTCTCGGTTATTCTGAGATCGCAGTTATAACAATCGTTCTGTGGCATTTAAAATATTTCGTATTCGTGTACGATTTCCTATTCATACAATATAAATGGACAACTTTTATTTTTAATTGCGACCAAATGAAAAATCGAAGTCGTTAAAAACTGATAGGTATTTTTTCATTTTTTTTCGATAGATTTAACAACAAATATATCTCATATATAAATTGAAATAAAAAAATAATGTCCAATTATATCTAAAATAGGTATGGTCGTATTTTGACTACGGAGCACTCCCAAAAAATAACAACAGGAAAAAAAATGTTGTTCAACATGACGTTTTGAAACCAATCAGGAATCTAAAGTATGAAGTTGAAATAAATTAAGGATTATCAAGGTTGTATATAATATATAAGTAGGCTGCGTTAAATAAACAAAATAATACTAGGAATTAATTTTTTCGTTTTTTTTTTTTTAATAGCCTGAAATAATATCACGCAGTAAAATATTGTTGGCATCTACGACGAGGTTATTAGCCAATAAAATTATATTAGTTATAATGTGTTTGACATTATTTTTGACTATATTAAATCAGTCGATAAGTATCAGTTTCATTTATAGAGATGAATGAGTGTCGTGATTGTCGTGTGTTGATGCGCGTGTGGCCTACTCGAAGGCGTTTAATTATGACCGTGTCATTTCCGGTATTTTATGACTGGTTTGGGAAACGGTAGGTCTCGTAAGTTAATAATTTTGTGAATCAAACCATTGATGAGTATGATACATGTATGATATCGATAATATGAAAATAATAAAACATCTGTGCCCCCCACACCTTACCAATGGTTCGATAATAGATTCACGTGCATAAGTGGTACCATAAAAAACCAGTACCGAAACTAAATAGTAAGTACCACACATTATATAACTCTTAATATTTATGTTGTGCGTGATCGAGTACAATGACCTAGGTATATTTTTTAGTAATAATTCCGTTATTGTCTTGTTGTTGTTAATTTTAGAAAACTGGTTTGGAAGTTAAATTGAGGTTCCCATAAAAAAAAAAAAATAATTGAACTAATTTGTTGTGTTTTGTTTGCTTCAAGCCTCAACTATCTAAACATCTCGTGCAGCGAAAGTGTCTTCTTAGGTTAGAAAAACAAATAGGTTTACAAACAAATAACACTCGAACTTTTCATCAAACCCTTTCCTTTCAACCTTTCCCAGATAACTGTTTTTTCGACAAGCTTTTTCGTGTTTACCAAATTTAGACCATTACAAGAGAAACTCGTCTAAAAAAGGATTTACTTAAATCCATATTTAAAATTTAATATTTTATCCAATAAATATATGAGACGCCGTTTGAATTGATGATAGACTCTTTTAATCGATCCAGGAGTACATACTGCAGACTAGCCAAGGTAGACTAGACATTAGTTTTAACTTTTAAATATAAATCATACAGGAGAGGTAAAATAAAATTTAAGTCAATTTTTTTGTGCACTTTATTTATACTATAAAGATAAAACTTAAATTACCTACTGAAATAAAAATGTATTTAATTAGTTATGCATTCCTATATCATGTATTTTGACGATTGTCGGTATCTCGGCATAGACACCGGCTTCAGCTTTATACCTAATCATTCTAATATGACATGGTTAATATATGATGTATTTTTTTAATTGTATTTAATAGACAAATGTAATGCATACAATGCATACCTACCAGACCATGCTTGCTCTCCATATCAGCCATGTTCGATTAACAAATTAGTAACTTTTAGTATATGATTTAAGTCTTCAGTAATTTTTTGTTTGCAGTTCAACTAAAGAGTTTCGTTGCTGATTGCGTGTTACCTACTTAAATATCATTTCAGATAGTAACTGATTACGGTCAAATAGTCAACGTTTGTGACAACTAAATATTTTAAAAGTTTTTTAGTTTAATCTTACCCTTCAAGTACTCAACAGTTCACACCATATATAAGTTGGAACGTTAGATCGGGATACGGGTACACTGCAGGAATATATTATACTATTAAGTAGGCGGCCTGGTATGTACGAGGACGGACACGGTGCAGACACCCTGTTTTAAAAAAAAAATACTAAATACGATCCTGATAATCAGGTTAGAGAATAATTTTCATTGAGACATGAAGTACCTATATAGTATATACATTATAATATGCATAATATTATCTTACATATTAGTAGGTAGGTATATATATTTTATAAGACCGAAGTGAGTAGGTATTTTTTTAACGGGTTAACTCAGGAACAACTTGTCCAATCGTAATGCTTATTTTTTTAATTTATAGAGCATACCATTACAGAGAAGATTTCAACCATATAGGTTCGACTGAATATTGTATCAATAAATAATTTATTAAATAATTTTTATAAGTAATAGTAAAATGTATAAAATCGTTAGAACGAAGAGCTGCAGTTCTTCGGAAATATAAATACATTATACTTTATATATGACTGTAATTGTATATAATTATACCAATTGCGTGCTGCATTATTTCATTAAAGATTTATACTCACTTTTACTCGAGACAACATTTCAACAACATTAGTTGGCACACATTGTTTTTTTAAATGTTCCTCTTGACCGCACTGAAGAATCTAAATTTTTACGTGAAGTTTTTCTAAATACCACTTTACATTTTTTTTTCCATAATTTTTTCAACCAAATTCCGGGCATACATTTTGCAAACAAGTTCAAATAATTTATGTCGTTACCGCCGACCGGTGAACAGCTACGTGATATTATATAATGCTATACAAAACAATATAGTTACGCGGCATAGTTTAATCAACAGTAGAAAACCTGATTATTTATACGTTTATGCATAAAAAAATAACTCTAGCTGTGATATTTAGGTTTGTAATAGTGGTATAAGTAGGTTTTAAATTTATGTCATGACATATTTTGTAAATAAAGTTAGCTAAATTAAATAGGAAATAGATAAATAATTATCACTCAGCTAGTACATTATATAATACTAGCATAAGTATTATACTATTATATTTTTTTTTAAATTTAAAATAACCCCCCACCTGGGGTATTATTATCATATTAATGTATAATAGCTGCACAGGTATTTTTATTATAACTTATAATACATACGAAATAATAACTATACATAACAGCCACAACATGTTATTTTTTTGAAAATCACTATAATTAGTACGTGCTATAATGTAATTATTTTAATTAATGTATCTATTAAAATATACGTAATGTTATTTTATATTACAATTTTTTCCTATAATAGTTGCTTATCAGTAATCCACAACAATCCACAAGATGTCCGATTCAGCTAAATATTAACACCAAGGATGTTGTGAAAAATAAAAAACAAGCATCAAAAAATGTATAATTGTTTTACAAGCAGCTCTTTAGAACTAAAATACTAATTACTCGATCACCTGTATACCTGAATTCATATGCATATGATTTAGTTTCAAAACATAATTCTAAATTCAAAAACAAACTTTTAATATTTATGTATTTCTTCTTAAACCAGTTAAACTTACCTAGGCGTACGAACTCCAGCTGTGGGGCGAGCAAAAAAAATCAAATATAATCAATTATTTTCATATTTTTCAAAATATTGATAAATGGATAATAATATCTAATGGACCAGCATTTATCTTCATACTGTAATAAAAAATAAAATGTTTAAATAGTGGGCAAGTAGGCAAAATCTTTGTTGTACAGTTGTAGATGTTAAGTGTACCTAGATCATTGAGTAAGTCGCTGTAATGAAATGTGTGTTGAATATTTCCTACGAAAATTGATTCTGAGTGGAGACGGTCTGTCAGCTTTTATACATAGCTAATTATATTTTGTTGAATATCTATATTGTTATTATCAAAATAGCATTGAGTATGCTGTAATATATTATCAAAATGTTAACTTAAACGAGTATAAAAAGAAAGTCGTGATTATTTATTTTAATAATTTTTAATTATTACTTTTTACTCCTTCCAAAGAACCTATTAGATTCATATTTCTATCAAAAAATATATTGAAATTAAAGATTGAAGCGTTATTACTGGTCCAAACTGTGGTAAGAGACCACAAAAATAAAAAATAATAAAACACGCATCTGTCATAAAATCATCGTTCCACTCAGAGTCCAAAGCAGATACAGTTAGAGTGATGTAGTCGATACTTGTGGTAATGATGTTATACTATTATTTATACTACAAATTGTTGTGCTCAGTTCATTGGCTTTTTAAATTTGATTAAATGTAATAGTTTAATACCAAACATGACGTACTATAATAACTTGTAGTTAGGTATCGTTTCGGTCGTTGATCGTTTATACATATATATATATATTTAATCAGAAAACTCATTCACTTTTTATTATTTCTTTCCGCGGCAGTAAAAATCCAGGCCTAATCTTATAGGTAAATTAAAATTGATATCACTTGTATCAGGCGTAGATTCTCACCATAAGAGAAAGAGATCACTCAGCCCTGTAGTCAGTGTAATAGAAACTTAAATTATAGAGAGTTATACGTCCGGAATTCAATTTTTTATACAGATATCCACATAATATTTATATAATTTTATTTTAAAATGAATCAAATTTATTGTGAACACTAAACAGCTAACAGATTCATTGACCCGAAAAGTACCAAAATTAAAAAAATAATGTAATTATTTCAAAGAAATAATATACCATTGTAGAATATTAAAAAATGTTGAATTCAAAATTGAAAATGCTTTTAAAAATGTCAATATAAACCACTATTAATTTCATATTTATAAAATATAAATTATGAGAGAATAATAACGGGATAAATAAAATGTAAGATTTACCTTGGGCCAGATCGAAGTTAGTATTTTAACAGTCAGAAATAATAATAAAATACTCTCATTTTCATTGAAATAACTGAATTATAAATATTTAGCTATAAAATATTAGGATAAGACAGTATACTCTCAAAAAATAAAATTACATCGGTTGCAATTACATTTCATATTTTCATACCTACTTAATACTTACACAGAGAATATTTTAATGTAGAAAAATTCTTCACATGTGAATACTCAAATGTTAATGTATTAATTTTTTAAAGATCATCGGTTGACAATTGATTAATCAATTTACCTTTATATATATTTTATTGACCGATAAAAAAATCATTAAAACGATTGCTATTTATTAATATTCAAATCATTAGAAATTACAAAATAATATATTACAGTTTAATTATACATTCAAATATAGTTAATAAATGTCTATATAACAAAAGTTACGACAATATTGTTTATTAATATTATAAGATTTTTGAAAATTTGTTGACTTTTTGGAGGTTTGGTTAATGAAATCCCCAATTTTTAATACTAAGTTCTAAAAATTAAACATAATACAATCCTTAAAAAGCCTCGATAACGTGACCATTGGCTTGTTTTTACATATAATGATAACTTAAAATTAGATTGTACAGTTCAGTGTCTTTCAAAAATAAAATTATATTTTGGATGGATTTTTCGTCATGGCCAATTAATATTATTAAATCAGCTTTATAAGTTGAAATCTACGTGAAACTAATCTTTGCAATATTCATTCAGGGTAGTAATAAAAATGACAAAACGTAGGTACTTTGATTTGGTTTGGTACTCAGCTGATCTGTCACTAGTGTTGAACAAATAAAAGTAAGTAAATACCTTGATCTACATTGAACAACGTACGCCCAAAATACTTAAGATCCACCCAGGGATGGACGAATCCCGGTTTTCCTGCAATACTTCCGTGTCACTATTTACCGACAAACTGGTAGGTAAATCGTGTGATTTACCGATAACCGATTTTAAATTCCAATAACTATACTTATTACTTGTATTGGTAATTAGTTTATTACTGCTTGGGTTCATAAAAAACCATTTTGTCGTTTTGATTACAATAATTCTTGACATCGTTATGAATTATGATCTCTGTAATTTTATATTTTTGTACTTCATAGTAAGTAAGATATTACTGGATTTTGTATGCGTGTTTTTAAAATATAATTCCCCGGTGGAAATTTATCGTTTGCAATATTATTTATTATACTCGAATGCTTTATATGTTTTAATTTATTAAAGACTAAAAGACTACGTTCAGCGATACTGAACTAACTGTCAATGTTTAAGAAGTATTACATTTGGGTAAATACAGATACGCTGGCTGGAATACCTGGACGTTTTCCAGAGTGCCCGATGCACGTCATTTGTTGTTAATTTGCACCTATTTTATTTTTGTAAAACTCCATCTTTGGCCTGCAAAAAAAAAATATTTAAACGCCGATATATGTTTTAAACCTGATATTGAGTCAGCGTTTTGTATCTTCTTTTTATTTCAACATTTTTGCTGAGATCCAACCATTGAGGAAATAACTATAATGGTGCCAAGAGGAAATTGATAACAGTACATTCTATACCTAGACAATAAATTATGATACATTGTATTATAAAGAACAAACAATAATAAAAAGATAATTGTACATGACACAATGTTGTCGTGTGTATTAGTTATTACAACCACGGGGCACGAATATAGAGTCTTAATCGTTAAGTTATGATAATAATAAATCCTATAAACGTGTCCATCAAAAATAATTGTTTGCCTTCCTAGTTGTTTGCATTTCAAATCTCATCGCCAACATACTGCAGTTATATACTCGTACTATAATAATTAATAGCTATATCGAGTTTATTGTGGCTAAGTAATGGTTTTAAAATTGGGTGTAATCATTTTGGCCATCGACAATATTTAAAAAAAACTGAAATGATGCACCCTCAGGCTTTTGGCTCCTCTTGTCCAATTATAGAAGATATAATATTATGTCCAATAATGGACATTTCGTGAATGTTATGTATGATTATAAAATAATCACTATTGATTATTATTGTAAATGATATACTATTTTAATTTTAACCGCCAAATCTAAAACCTTTATACATAAATAGGTATTCGAATTATAGAACAAGACTTATGAAATTATAAAAAAAAATTTTGTTTTTAAATATATTGAATGGAACACTTAGTATGTAAAAATGTTTTCCATGGACGTCGAGATATCTGCGTCACATCACCGGCTATGGCGCGGCGTCGTGACTATAATATAATTTTTTCCTCTCCCACATTTAATATAAATATTTCACCATATAACGCAACGCCAGGACAGTCGTGGAGAAGGGAACTGTGGCGTTTTTAGTCCTAATAAATTAGAACTAATATTACGTATGTTGTACTATCATTGATTTCATACAGGTACATACCAGCATAAATTAATACTACCGCTTACAATAACCAACATGTTCAAACAATTATACTACCATAATAATTAAGATGAAAACTTGTTTTGTAATAAACGATGCCGGTGCATGAAAATACATTTTTTTAATTAAACATTATTCCAAATTATTATAAAATATTCACTTTATGGGTGTCGATTTGTACATATATTATAACAGTGCATACTGCAATCGAATAAGAGTTCCGTTATTTTTATAGACCAAGTTGAATCCTAACGTTTAAAAATGTAACTATTTAAGATCATCGTGTATCCGAATATAGTCCCGGCATTTATCATACTTAGTTATTATAATTAATGCGAGATTAATGTTTATGAAAGGCTGTTGGCTAAGTAAACTTTTACATATACAGCTTGCTGTAAAATATAAATTACAATAATACTCGGACAACTGACGATTTAAATTTAATGAGAAAAAATATTAACCATGCCGGCCGGATCATCTTCAGTAGGTAACAAAATGACCTAAG